TGTTGAGTACTCTCCTCCCATGCAGGAGGCCATGGGTTCCATCTCCAGCAACGCATAAACTGGACATGGTTGCTCTTGCCTGTGATCCCCCAGCATTTAGGACGGAGAGGCAGGAAGATCACTAGTTCAAGACACAACTCTCCCGAAAAGCAACAGTCATTTGTTGTTTGGTTTTTGAAATAGGGCCTCACTCAGCCCAAGCTGTCCTCAGATTTATGATTCTTCTTAATTACTACGGTTTTTGTGTGTCAGTGAAGTGTGTGTGTTTGGATATATGTACGGTGGTGTACACTCAGAAGTGAGAGGCAACTTCGTGGAATCTGTCCGTTCTCTCTTTCCACCCTTGCGTGAACCCCAGGGTTTGATCTTGGGTTTTCAGTCTTGCAGGGCAACCACTCTTCCATTTCACCAGCCCCACAAAAAGGATTTTTTTTTTTTTTAATGACAGTTGATACTCACTCTGTTAAGGCTTAGGTTTTCTGCAAGTTTATCTGAGTGCCCTTCCATTTCCTTCTGTATAAATAGAAGAATGAACACCTGTCTCGTGAGGTTATTTAGAGAGGAAGATTACAAAAATGCGTGGCATACAGGACTTACTAAGGAGCCTTGCCACACCTTCACTTTGTCGCCTGGTGTTGCCAGCAGCGCCCAAGTGCTCCAGTGACTGGGAGAAACATGTAGAACACAGACTAGCAGGGTAGCGCCCCGAGAGAGAAACCTGTGCTGAACTTGGTTTTGGGGTACAGAGACAGAGCAGCAGGAGTAGGCAAGACCTCCCGGAGCTCGTAGTGTGGGTGGAGAGGTTCCATGTGGGGCCAGGCTGGCCGTCCACCGTGGGTTCTAGATGCTTCCCTAGACACAGGCTTCCGGGTACCATTCTGTGTGTGAATTTGAAGTTTTGGAAACCCAGAGCCAAAAGGAAACTTTGTGATTATCTAACACCAACTCCAGAAAAGGAGAAAGTGAACTTTTCCCTTTGAAGGAAACCAGTTGTGATGGGAGCAAGAGGAAAATTGACTCCAAATGGATCATGTTTTATTCAGTTTGTCCTGCCAGGGGGGATAGCCAGAACCCAGAGACAGGATAGAAAGTGGGACACCCCAACTTTAAGCTTCATGCATTGTACATGAGCTGTGCCCGCTTCACCGAGCTCAGCTCCCAGGGGCCTCTAATGGCCCTCACCCTCGCTAGCAAACATAGTTAAAAATTAACAGGCTGACAGGATTAAATAGGGAGGGCGAGCAGCCACTGTGGACCGAATCTGACGCAGGGTATTACACGCTCGGGTGCCCACGACCAGAGCAGCGGCTCAGTGAACTTGGAGACATCAGAGCACCTTTCAGTGCCTGTCTGGAAACAAGAGCCAAACTTATGCTCCAACAGGAAGAGCTGAGGCCCAGGACAGAGTTAGCCCCAAGGGCTTGTGCTTGGTCCCCGGCCTGGCTGCTCTTTGAGGATGTAAGTGTTCACGATCCTTGGTTTTGAGGCCTCAATGTCTGACACTCTTGTTATCCTGCCTAGGAGCCTTTGAAGAACCAGTCTTCTCCAGCTGGGGCTTTTTGGTATTTCCAGATAGTGTTTTCAATGGAGTCAAGGCTGACCTCACCCTGGCAGCAATCCTCCTGTCTCAACATCTCAAGTGCTAGGATTTATATGTATAAGGTACCTCTTGGCTACAGCCAAGATGTTCTTCCTTTGTCCTTTTCCAGCTGCTGGGATGAGGAAGATGATGGACCTACCTGTAGCCAAGCCACACAATTCTCAGGTCCCAGGCCTAATAGAAGTGTCTAAAGCCACATTCCTGACAGAGGGTGGTGGGATCCATACGGTGTGGCCCCAGGGCAGTGCGTCGCCCCCTTAACTACTACGTGATTTAGGGAAATTTCTGTTTTCCAGATTTCTCTGTCTGCAATAGACTGAACACTTTCCTCTTTCTAGCACAGACTAAGTCAGGGTTAGTGTTAAATATTAGGTTAGATCAAACCCCTAGAATGGTATGCAAGCTTGGGCGGGGGAGAGAGAGATTGTGTGTGTGTGTGTGTGTGTGTGTGTGTGTGTGTGTGTGTGTGTGTGTGTGTACATGCTTCTCTGGGGCAGGAATGGCCGGGATGATCCTTGAAGCCAACTCTTCTGCCATGGTGTGGACTTAACTGTTCCTGAAGAGCTGACTTTGAGGAAGTCTGGGGAAGCCACTGGTCCTAGCAGTGGTAATGAGGAGTCAGAAGCATCTTGTCCAGGGCTTGGACAGGAGTGACCTGGGGCCACAAGCTTCAGCAGAGCAAACAGCCCAGACGGGGGTGAAGGTTAACCTTCTTGCCATCCTCCAAACAGTGTAGTGATTAGCACAAAACAGCTTGTCCTCCTGGGCTAGCAGCCCACACTCCTGGTTGTGCCCCTTGGACTCTGCTTCTCTCTGGTTACTAGAACAGGGAGCTGCTCAGTTTGGCCTGGCAGGCACTGCCCCCTGCTGGAAGGTGGGTTGCCTCGGGTCTCTGGAGTGCAGCACACTGGAGTCCCAGCCGTGAACCACAGGTGGTGAGCTTTGGGAGTCCATCTTTTCTCAGTCAGCTACAGTGTGATCTCGGGTGTGTGTGCACGTGTGTGCATGTGGGGGGTGGGGAGGGGGAACGCCGGAGTCAGAGGCGGCTAGAGAGGCAGACAGACGGCGAGGAGGCCTCTCTCTTCACAGCCACCCTCACCAGTCCCAGACCCATGCCATCTGCCCTGCAGCTCACTGTCCCCCCGCCAGCCCATTCCTGTGTCCCCTCAGTGAACACTATCCCATGTCGGCCTCAGGGCCCTACATCCCCACCTCACACCCAGGCCTCACAACTGCCACCACCGCTCCACACTGACCCAGTGCACACGGACCATTTTAGGTTTAGGTTCCCAGCGTCCCCTGCCTGAGGGCCCTGGCCCCTAGGCCACCCTTTCCCAGCTGACTTGGGAAGGCAGCTCCAACTTTGCTCTCAGATGATCAAGCCGTGAGCCAAGGGTAGGTACTGGTTTCTTTGGTCTCCAGCCCCTCCACCCCTCTGCTCCTGTCTCTAGCCTTCCGGCACCACCAACCCCCTCCCCACTCCCACCCCTACCTCACCCAAACCAACCCCCACCCCAGCCTTCCCACATTTTTTCCTCATGATTTTGTTAGCTCCCTTGGTCCTATAGAAGACACCCAGGTGTGAGTCTTTAGTCTGTCTTCAAGGACAAGTTTCTGATCCCTCCACCCTTCCTTCCATAAATGGTGGCAAAGATGCTGGCCCGTCTTTAAGGAAGGACCCATGGGGGCTCTGAGGACTCTCAGGCAACGTGGCTTTACCCCCAAAGGTTTTGGTCCTCTGGCCTGCTGGTCTCTGCTTTCTGGAAATAATATCTGGCATGGTCCCCAGAGGACACCTCATACACAAGATGACCCAAGGGGCACCTTGAGGTAGATGCCGATGCCCCAGAAGCTCTCAGCGTTCCTTCAGTTTTGTTAGAGCCGTATATGCCCCAGTCAGAGCAGACGTCTCCACCCTAAGTTGGCCTAGTAGGCAGGGTTCCCCATTTGGCCTTCCTGTCCTACACTGTCAGCAAGGGTGTGTGGGAGTCCTTCACTTGGCAGGAAACCCCAAGGACTGCTTGGGGACCAGCGCGAAAGTGCAAGAACTAACTTCTCCCTGGGACCCGATCCCTTGGCTTCTCAGCCCTTAGAGTCAGGGCTTCTTCGTCCTGAGCTGGACTCTGGGACAGGGCAGTTTTCTCCAAACCCCAAGTCCCCGGAGTCCTAGGGTTGTCTGTAATTTCCCTCTGGCCCCATGGTACCCCCCCCCCCCCCCATCAGCCAAAATGGCTCCTGCTACATCTTGGTGTTTGATGCTGAGAGATTCTCCTGACGTATGCCAGGGTTCCATCACAGCTTCCCAAGCACCCCCTTGTTGCTGTCATTTGCATCTCTTGTTTCCAGCATCATCTTCCCTGTTGCTCACTGTTCTCAGTGGGAGTCCTTCCCTCTTACTTAACGAAAGAGAAGCAAGTTGAGTAAGCCCTGCTCTCTGGAAATAGAGGCTGGAACATCAGGAGTTCAAGGCTAATTTTTTTTGAAAATTTTACTCATATTTTATGTATGAGTGCACTACGTGTATACCTCATGCCAGAAGAAGGCATCAGATTCTATTATTGATGGTTGTGAGCCACCTCTGTGGTTGCTGGGAATTGAACTCGGGACCTCTGGAAGAAGAGCCAGTGCTCCTAACTGCTGAGCCATCTCTCCAGCCCCTCAAGGCTAATCTTGGTTTCATGGTGAGTTAGAGACTGGCCCACAGGTGCCCCACAGGCTACAGACAAAGCTGGCATTGTCAATGTATGGTATTTAAGAATGCAAAGCTTGTGCCTTTCTTGTTGTTGATCTTTTGTGTGACATGGGACCCAGAGCCTTCTGACAGGCGGAGAAGGCACCCTCAGCCTGGTGGTGTTAACTTGTCTTGGGAGAGACAGCACTGCTGTTGACCTGGGTTTAGCTCTTTGCACAGGCCCCTAGGACACTGTGAACACCGCCTGGTCTTCCAGATGTCCCACCACATCAGGAAGCCAACCCTTTTCCTGAGAGAGCAGGCTCTGGAGAAAGTTCAGTTCCCGCCAGGCCAGTCTCAGGAGGAGTGAGTCATGAAGTGCCCCCCCCCCCTTGGTGTTTGCTTAAACCATCAGGCCACTCTCCCCAGCTCTGGTATTTCTAAGAGAGTATGGAAGGGAAGAACCCACAGGGCCTCTTAATTGCTGTTAACTCTGACAAGGACGGGGGGTTGGATGCCCGCTAAAGTGGATGCTGCCCCATAAGTTCCACTGGTATGCTCATAGGGCTTCTGGAAAGTCTCTCGGGGTGCAGCTGTGGTGTTTCTCAGAAGGTCCTAGGCAGGGATTCCCACCCTGGCCAGTGTGAATGGACCCCTCTCAGTGGTGAGGAGGTCTGGGGACCCACAGTGAGGTGGGACCCCTGGCTCACTGCTCTCCTGTCTTTTCAGATGCGCTGGCTCCCTCCCTCCGAGGCTACTTCTCAGGGTTGGAAGTCCCGACAGTTCTGCTGAAGGCTGTGTAAGTACTTGGCTTCTCCGGGGACCATTCGGTGCCCCTAGCCCTCCCGTGGTTCTCCATCTGGGAGAAACGTGGGCATTGCCCCTGAGTGTTCACCTGGGATGGGAAGATGATGAACAGGCCCAGCTCTGCTTGAGTCTCCCTTGGGGACCAGGCTCCTGTCCTCCCGTGCGTCGTCAGCAGTCTATATACTGGGCATCGGGAAATTTGATGACTCTGTCATGGTTCACCTCCTCTCAGCATTAGGGAGAAGCCCCTCCCACGTGGCCCACTCAAATGCAGATTTTTTTAAAATAGGCAGTATGCTGCTGTTGCCTAGTCTTGCCTTACTTAAAGTATCAAAGTATCTTTTTTATGTTTTAGATTTGTTCTTTACATGTATGAGCGTTTTGCCTACATGTATGTATGTGTACCATGTGCATACTGTGCCCCAAGAGCCCAGAAGAGGGCATCTGACCCCCCAGAACTGGGGTTCTGGTAGTTGAGCCACCACGTGGGTTCTGGGAAGCAAACCCAAGTCCTGTACAAGAGCAACAAGTGCTATCTCTCTCTCCAGCCCCCACTTTATAAAAATACATTTTTTTCAATTATTGAAAAATAATTTTTATACAATAGTCAGATCAGTTTTCCCTCCCCAACTCCTACCTCCCCACCCAATAGAAAACAAATAAGTAAACAAAGAACAAACCGGAATTTTTTAAAAAGAAAAGGCACCAGAAACAAAAACACATACACATACAAACAAAACCCATAAAAACTGGAAATTAATATGTAGCCAAATGACCAAACAAAGCAATATGCGACAAAAAGTCTACAGAAACACCTGGAGTTTTAGTGTTGGCCAGCTCCTAGTCATGGGGCCTACCCCCTAAGTGGGGTTATAAACCGTGTCTGTCCTAAATATTCAAGTACACAAACACCTTCTGTAGTTTGGAGTCTTGACTGAATTTCTCCTTAAGCAAGGGGCACTGTAGTTCTGAGCTGTAACGTAGCAGGAACTGGGGCGTATGACTGAAATTAAGTTTTCTAAGTGTTACAGCTCCCCAGTTAGATCCTTCAACCCTTTGTGAACCTGGAAGGGAAGTGGGTGGGCTTGGGTCCTGTTCGATGCTAATGCAGGGTGTTTGGCCCATGTGCTGATGCTGACAGTGACAGACTCTTAAAGCCCCTCTATTTTGAGAGTTGGCCATGTAAAATGGATACTCACTTTTCCCACGGTTGAGGCAGAGGTTCAGTACTTTGTTAGGGCACTGGAGACTCTGAAGAGGTACCGTATGTAAATAAGCCTGCGGTGGCTTAGGTTCTACCTTGACATGTTTGTGTGAGCGCCCGTGGAAGAAGGAAGGATGGTGGGTGATGGGGCTAGCCTTGTCTTCCTGAGGAGAAAGGAGAGTTCCCACAGGAAGGCTCAGGTCATTAATGCAGAATGTTGACTGCGCTTGCTGAGCCCTTGTGGTGATGGGAGGTCAGGGTCAGTGTTTCCCATTGCCCTGCTGGCCTGGGTTGGGGCTACCCGCAGCAGGAATGCATGGAGTGGAATCAGAGTGGCAGGAAAACCATCTGGCTTCTGCCATCTGGTAGGTGCTCTGGGGACACTGATATCGGTTGGTGGGCAAGTTGGCGAATGACAGAGGCACCCAAGTCTCTCTTCATTGTTTTGTTTGCTGTTCATCTAGGCTTAAAGGAAGAAGCACATCTCTTAGCCGTTATATGTGTTCCGGTTTAAAAGACTTTGTACACTTTGTATGAGCATGCTCACATTTTTCCCGAAATCACTATTTTCTGTCGGCCAGAGGCCCGGTGGTAGCAGAGTGGGGCTAGGGACTACGCCATCACCACACAGAAAGGTCTAGCATCTCTTGAATGTAGTTCATCTCTGAGCTGTACATGGGCCAGGCTCGCGCTTGCCTGGGGTGTGAGGTGGTCTCGGGTGTGTCATGTGGAGATCGTCCAGAAGGAATTTGGGTGGCAGTGCCATTACTGTCGCATGGAACTAGGTATGTGCAGCCACCACTCCAGCTCCTTCCCAAGTCAGCTATGATCCAAGCTGTGGACTTTGGGGGAATATAAAACAGATTTGGGAACACCGGTGCTGTTGAGCTAATAGAAGCAGAGGGGACCAAAGCGCGTGTCCGAAAGGGCAGTGCTGGCCAGGTGGGCGGCTCCACAGCACAGCAGAGGGTGCTGGCACGGAGAGTGAGGCACTAAGGGTGCCAGACACCCTACTGGCACACGTGGTATATCGACTGTTGTATGCTCTCCTTTAATCCCCATAGTCCCAGGCCTACTCCAGAAGAGGCCTTACTCTTGGACTTGTGTTAGGATTAGAGGCGTGTAGCCCTATGTCTTGCTTTAGAAATCTCTAGTTTATCTGCTTTGGTTTCTTAGTGCAAGCATAAAACAAATGACTAAACTCGAAATATAAACTGACCCAGCTCTTTACTCTGTGGACATGGGAGTCGTACCAGCTTGTGTCCAACATTCCTGTGGGAGCCCTGTGGACCCAGTCTGCACACAACGGCCGCTCGGAGGCCCTGGGCTCAGCCTGCAGAGCAGGGTGTGTGGGTTCGCGCTCACTGGTGGTGTGAGGAAGACTTGGAAGAGTGGCCGGAGGCTGAGCTTGCTGACGCTGTTGGCTTGGCATGTGGTCGGCATGAGCGAGATTTAGTCTGTCTACACGTTATCACCCCATCACTAGCATTTTGGTGATGATCCAGCCGTGAAACAGAGAACCATGATAGTGTTTGCAAGACATGTTTTGAAAATGATCATTTTCCAGCTCCACCAAGAACAAGAGAACACGTTTTCTGTCGCTCCTTACAAGTAACACAGTGACAGCCTTGCTTGTTGGACATCCAAATATAGCTAAACAAGTCTTCTAAAGAGCTTGGGGACTGGTGTGGGATGAGATAATATTAAGAACTTGTGAGATTCGCTTGGCCTTCAACCACAGCATAGAAATTGCAGGCATGTGCTGTTACAGCCTTGCCGGGTTAGAGGAGGTAATGGGAGCTAAAACGGCAGGATATTTAGCTGTTTATGCCTCCAGCTTCTTTGGGAGGAACAGCCTAGTCTGCCTCTGTCTTTAAGGCCAGGTCTCCTGTAGGCCCAGACGGCCGCTGTGGCTCCAGCAATCACCCCACTCTCTCCTTAGAAGAGACCAGCCTTGTGCTCCGTATTGCAGTAGCCTCAGAAGCCAGGGAAGTTCCTGTTACTTTATCAGGATCACACTTGAGCTTGTAACAGTAAATATTCAGTGAGCAACTCTAGCTTACTGAGGAGGAGGGTAGTGGAATAATAATAAAATGAGCATAATAGGTCAGATAGGGTGAGCGTGGAGTCTGCTAGGAATTGCCAGGAAGCGACAGCTTTTAATGTCCTGTGTAGGAGGCTCAGCCAGCGAAGGTGCCCGGCAGACCAGCTCTTTCCCTGCAGACCCACTAGTGGTACCATGTCTGGAGAATGTGACTCTTCCGATCCTTCTTGTCCCTTGGCCAACTAAAAGTGGGCTTGGAACGTGCCCAGGGGGCACCCTAGGGCTGCTATTGCTAGCCAGCCTTGGGTGGGGGGCACACTTGGTCACTATGGATTGTAACAGAGGGTGGGGGAGTTTAGGTAGTTTCCTCCCTCAAATAGCCCAGCTTTTACTATGAAACCAGACTCATACCTGCCTCTCTTTAAAGGTCTCTGTAGTGACTTCTGAGTTCCCTTGCCTCTGGCCCAGTAGCCTGTCACCCTGTTCTAAGTCCCCAGACCACGTTTCCACCTGCATTCTCTGGACTTGAAAGGTCATCCTACAGTGGGGCTGCGCTTGGGAGCAGGCTGGTCTTCCTGCCCCAGGGCGGGCAGCATGAGGACCACAGAGAAGGTTGCCATGCGCAGTTAACAGCTCTCTCTGTCCACCCAGGTCTCGGGTGTGTGATGGCGGCTGCAATCTGTCTTGTGGGTATTAATGCGATCTTCACTGGTGGCGACTGTCATCCAGCTGTTCTGCAGAACTGGAGCTTTGCTGGTGAGTGCCAAAGTCAGGTGGCAACCAGTGTGGGCAGGATGGGCACCAGCATCTCCTGGAACCACAGCCTCTGTCTGTATGGGCCTATGGCATCTGCATACTACCAGTCCAGTTATCTGACGCACCCTTCCAGTGACAAGCTGCTTCAGGGCAGCCAAGATGTAGTAACCGTCAGTTTGGTTTCGTAGTGGGTGCTTTTTGTTTTGAAATAGTACCTTACTGTGTAGCCCAGGCTAGCCTCAGCCTTTCTAGTACTGGGAAGCTCAAATGCCATCGTGCCTGGCAATAGTTGGCAAGTTACCCATGGCCTTCTCAAGTAAAGAGGCTCCATTCTCGATAGGAGCACTGTGACTTAAAACAAATTTCATAAAATACAGCTTTTTTCCCTCCCTTTCAGCTCCCAAGCCTTCATTTGAAAAACCAGCAGTTAGTTTGTTGGAAGTAAGATATAGTGTGTTCCCCTCATAACTGTCCAATTGCATTAAGTATAATGAAGCCATTTCTCTACTGGGGGACATGTTTTGAGCCTCTGCTGAAATTGGTGAGTGTGGATTCTCCAGAGGTTGTCATGGGGCTTTTCTGGCCTCTCTCCTCAGGCGGTAGTCGCTATCAGAACCTCAGTCGTCAGGTTTGGAAGTCAGGGTTGCTCAGGCCGATGTGGAGCTCCGGATCTTCCTTCCCCGGCCCACCAAGTGCTGAGGTTACAGGTGTGTGCCACCAAGCCTGGCCCTAGGTAGAGGCTGTAAAGGAAATTACAATATACACTATCCGGGATGACCTGCTCGCGGCCACCTCAGACGGCAGCTTCCAGTGACTTGGCTTTGGGTAACAGAATGCCAGGGACACTTCATGCCTCAGCCCAAATAAGGAGACAAATTTCATTCCTTATGATGGGCCTATAAAAAAAAATGAGTCAGAAGGAAGGCAAGGTTGCTGCTGAGGATGGAGATGAGGCAGCCAACCAAGGAGGTCACTGCAGCATTTGGGGGACATGAGCGACTTCACACTGAGATCAGCACCTCGTAGGACCGAGCGAGCCGCAAGTACAGTGTACGTTCCCCCGTCCAAGTCTGTTTCCTACAGTAGCACAGAGCTGTCACAAGTACCATAGTGACACACCGTGCGGTGCAGCTGACGTCCCGGAAGCTATATGGCCTTGTGATCTGGTGCCTTTCGTCCTTGTCCTCAGCAGTAGTGCCCAGTGTTCTTGATCTTCCTTCTTTGTTTTGAAGGATTTTCCTTTCTCTAGAGTGATTTAAAGGTCAGTTGATAGGTACTCATGCAGTTTGTTGTTGTAGTTCTGGGGATAAGAGCCAGGCCCCTGTGCATGCCACGCAAGCGCTGTCCCTCTGAACTCCCCCATGCCAGACAGTTTTTTTTTATATAAATATTTATTTATTATGTATGCAATATTCTTTCTGCATATATGCCTGAAGGCCAGAAGAGGGCACTAGACCTCATTACAGATGGTTGTGAGCCACCATGTGGTTGCTGGGAATTGAACTCAGGACCTTTGGAAGAGCAGGCAATGCTCTTAACCTCTGAGCCATCTCTCCAGCCCCCAGACAGTTTTTAAATGCGATAAAGCAACCAAAATATTAGTTGTCCAAGGTCCACTAGCCCAGTGTCAGAAGCAGGTGGTATATCCAGTACCAGAAAGCCCCAATAATAAAGGAGCAGGAAGCGACAAGAGGCTCAGAACTAGAGTTTCAGATGCCCCTGGAATGCACAGAAAGGTGGGTCAGGTGGGGGCCGTGAAGCAGGCACGGAGGGCCATGGCAGACAGTGTATAGCTCTGCAGGTCCCGGGCCACCATGGCTTACAGACGGGAGGGAGTGTGGTGGCTGTTCTTGTCACCAATCTAAGGCATCCTTGCCAGACAGAGGCACACCTGAGCAAGGAGGGAGGGTTCCCTCTACCCTTAGGCTAGAGCCAGGCCTAAACATGGCCAGGGAGGGTCCCTGGAGACTGGTCTCTGCAGAGAACTACAAACTTTACATGTCTTAAATATTTACTTTATATTAGTATTGACAGGTATAAAAATGAGTTTGTCTGACGGAGTCAGGGTAGCAGAGGAATATTAGAAGTCAAGTTTGGAGGGAAATCACTAACAGTTATTAGGCCAAGCTTATGCAGATGGGTGACCAAAACAGTTGTTAATTTGGGAGAAAATTTACCTGGTGCCTGGCTGAGTGTAGCTCAGCAACGCCGAAGCCCAGGTGGCGGTTGTTCCACCCTAGGTATCCTCCATCTGTGTGGCGGCAGAGTGCCCTAGTGAGCTTACACATCAGGGCCAGCTGAAGTCAGCGTCTTACAATTGTATGTACCATCAGGTATCCGGTCACAGTATCCTGTGTCTTCCCTCGTGTACAGCTGCTGCTGCTGCTGCAGCTGTGTAGTTCATGCACGAGCAGAGGACACAGGAAGTCAGGATAACTTTCAGGGTGTCTGTCAAGCTGACAGCCACACCACCAGCTGTTTTTGTTCTGGTTTTTGAGACACCACTTACATGTTGTTCTGGATCCCCTTTCCCAAAAGGCTCTTATGAAAAGAATCTGCCCCTCGTCACCCAGCCCACTGTCCCTCCGTTGTGCTTTGTGTTCCCGGACGTCTTTGGATTCTTTTTAAACATCCTTGTTAACACATTCCAGGGTTTGAACTCCATTCCGGGCTAAACCTCTTCCTTGTTTACAGGGACTGAAATAGCTGCATTTTGACCTTGTGTTCAGTCTGGGACGTAGATGGCAGTGTGGATACATTCTTTTCCCATGTGAGAATTACGTTTCCAGGGTAGGTTCTGGAAAGCTCAGGGAACTATAGGTTCTGCCCCCCTTCTTTCCCAACTTCCAAAGACCCTGTGTGCAGGGAGAGTGGTACAAAGCCAGAATCTGGGGCTTATTCACCCCGCCCCAGAGGGATTAGCTTCCCACAGAAGGGTGCCCCAGAGCTGGTGTGTAGCCCAGGCTGGACCTCCAGTGCAGACCCTGCCTGGCAGATCAATGTTAAGACAAGGGCCCAAGTGTCTAAATGAAGGAACATTTTGCTGTGCCCTGCTAGCTCCTCTGGGGTAGAGGATCGTCTTGGGGAAGAAAGTAACATCCAACATCATTCCTGCCTACTTCTGTAGGGACTTCTCCCTACAAAGCCCTTCTGGATTGGACCTAGGAAAAATGAGTTTTCAAAGACAAGAGTTTTGTAACTAAGTGGGTGTAGGAAAGGAAAGGGGGAAATACAGGCAGACGAGTCTTGAAGGTTGTACTAAGGGGCCTAGGGAGTGGGAGCCAGTGGAGAAATATGACATGAATCATCTTCTGCTACTCAGGGTTGGTGGGAAGAAGATGGTCCCAGGACAGAGCTGCCCAAGGCCACAGAGCAGGCACAGATAGAGATGGTGACAGCTTTGACTGGAACAGTACACAAAGGCCACTTTAGACTCCTGTTCAAGAGCTGAACCCACCTTCCCTGCCAGGCAGAGCCACAAAGCTAACCTGCTCTCTGCAGCCTGCCATCCTGTCTGTCCTTTCTCAGGGTGACTGAGAACAGCATCCCAGTTGTTAGTCTTGCTGCTTTCCCAAGATAGCCGCCTCTGAGCCAGGAAGAGCTGCACAAACCTAGTCCCAGAGCCCAGCTGTGTCTTGTGCGGAGCCCCTGCAGCACAGAATGGGTTTGATGGGCTGTACTCGAGGTCAGGAGGCGGCAGAACTTGTAGATGGTGGAAAGTTTCTGTGAACCACTTTCATTCCCCCGTGACATCTGCTCTGTGGGGAGCAAGGCAAGCAGGAGCCTCCTAAGACGAGTGTGCTTCAGCTGAAGCTCCTTTGGCACATCAGTGATGTGAGGAAGTGAGTCAGGCCATGAGGCCACAGGCTCACAAGGAATCTCTGTTGCTGTCACCTAAAACGTAACTCTATCTGTCCTCTTCTGCCCCCGGTTCCCACTCCTCCCACCCCACGCATACCTAGCCTGTGGGAACTCTGGGCCTACCTACTCCCAGGTAGACATCAGAAATCAGGGTTTAACAGAAAAGATAGGCACTTTTTGCAAGTGTTTCTGGTGACTGGTTTGAAACGGGGTCTGGCAGTGTAGCCCTGACTAGCCAGGAACTCGCATGTAGATCCCATGCTTCTGGGATTAAAAGCATGCACCACCATGCCCGCCTAGAGATGGACACATTCAGATTCTCCCGGCTTGAGCATCACAGGGTATGCGGTCCCCAGTGGTACTAAGTGTGAGAAGAGGCAAAAAGTGAGAGGTTCCTGAAGGAGCTTTGGCTCTTTATCCCTGCCAGACATTTGACTCAGAATGCTGCTGCCAGAGGACAGAGAAGGAAGTGGTCAAAGGCTACAGCGTTCCTACAGCTTTTTACAGGAAGCAGCTGCCAACATGCTAGGATTGCCGCAGCTGCGAGACAGAAGAGCGTTAGCTTCACAGCTGTGCGCCTACAGGTCTCGTCCTGCTCTGGAAAGCAGAGCTTTCTCACTGGTGCCTTTCCGAGCTCCACAGGTACACAGCCATTGTATTTGGATCTCAAAACTTGTAGGCCATTATTACGTAAATAAGCCTTTCTCTGTACAGAATCCTAGTCTGCTTGTATGTATACCTTTTCTGTGTTTGACAACACGAGTCTAACCTGTCAGTGAAAAAATACGAGAGTTGGAGAATATAAAGTGAATGACAATAAAAATGGGCTTTCAGTGCGTGCATCCTGGACGGTACTGTGGAGCTGTGGAGAGTACAGTCCAGAACCAGGTTGGAGTTACTCAGTGGCAGCGCATACCCAGCATTTGTGAGATGGAAGGACTGGGAGTTTGAATATCCTGGGCTCAAAGAGCTGACTCTATCACAACGCACAATACAAAAGCATGTGTTTCAAAGTTCAGGGAAGAAGGGGAGCTTAGAGTTTATTTTGCACACTTCAGTGCATGTGGAGAGAGGTGAGGGAACACTTGCAAGGAACCTGTTCTTGACCATGGGAGTCCCCAGCATTGACTCAGATCATGAGACCTGACAATGTGCTTACCCCACTGAACCATCTGGCCCGGTCCTGTTTTCTCTGTAGCCCAGGCTGGCCTGGAACCCCAGCTGATCCTCCTGCCTCAGGCTCCAGTGCCCAGTTTGAAGTCTTTACCTATGAGTCTGCTGACACTACTTGTCTCAGCAAGATCCATGTACACGATTGGAAGGTTGCTTTCCAACACGTTTTCTTTCTGTTTCAGGTTTGAAAACGCCTTGCCCAGTTTTGATCCCTTCAAGACTTTGCCACAGCCTCTATCACACATCTGTTTTCCTCAAAGAAAAAAAAATATATAATAAAATGTGTTTTACTCTTTTACACTGTATAATTTTAAGAAATACGTGTTATTTGTGAATGCATGGTCTGACGTTTCTGTACAGTTTAGAGACATACTCAGGTGGAACACAGACAAAACAGTAAAGCCAAGACGGCTAGTATTTTCTAGCGGGCATTTATGAATGGAGGGAGGAGTTCTTACACTAGGTTAGATCACTTTTGCACTTGATTTTTGAATGCTTTTTCATGACATTTATCTTGTTTTTCTTCTAAAATAAGCTGCATGTTTGAGGCATGTCTCTGAATAGCATTGAAATTTCCACGATTGTGTTGTGAATGTGTGGACTCCATCTGCCTGGCCCCGAGTCAGGGCACGTTAGTGACATGGTGTAGAAGTGAGCTCTGCAAGACAAAGCCCCAGGAGCATCTCCCACCACAGTGTTCACAGCTGGGCAGGAATTACTACTTAGGTAATGTCTCCCGAGCACAGCGTACCATCTGAAACCCATGGCAGCTATGGCTGCAACAATACAAACTGTGCCAAGTGGGGTATTGTCATTTCATACTTGTATTATATTGTTACCATTTATGATAGCACCCTCAGAGTGTGGGACCTAATATATCACTCACCTTCCATAAACTGTTCTCTTTCCCAGTGGAAAGATAAAAGTCCACCCCACTAAGTGGAGGGACCTTGGTTTGGACCTGTGAGGCCAACAAGGCCTCAGGAGAAGCAGGCAGCCCACCCAGATACTTTGGCAACAATAGGCATCACATCCCAAGTGATTCTGTAAAGTATGGCCTACCTGAGCTGGTGGTTCTAACGTCTGGCAGCCGTCCATCGTGTTCTCCAGAATACTGTTTGCTCATCCCGAGACTACCTACTGCATTGCACTGGGTGGGACATGTGACCACGGCCATTTGCAATGAATGCAGTTACCCTTGCGCTTCAAGACTTCTTCAGAGCCCAAAGTTAGCCTTGTGTTGTATTCCGACACATTTCCAGAGGTGTCGACGGGGCAGCTTCTCCTGCTCCTCAGACAAGAGCCGTGTGTAATACTGTGACCTCAGAGAACTTCCAGCTGCTGGTATAGCTAACATAATCACAGTCTTTGTATCTTTGTTATTGATCTACTTGTTGTGTTGAAAACGTTATGTTTTAATGGTTATATCATTGGTGGGGGTTCATTATTTTTCATTAGAATGTCAAGTTTTTACAGGTTATTAAACAGAGAAAAAGGAAAAAGAAACACTAAGGCCTGAGTAAGGGCTTTTCACTAGAAACTAGAGGAAGGGGGCGGGCAGCAGTGTGACTTCACACAGCCACACTGGTGTTGAAGGACTGCTCAAACACCCCCCCTCCCCCCCCCCCCCCCCCCCCCCGTGCCACTTGGCTCCGAGACTACTTGCTGTAAGGAGAGCCGCTTCACCAGTGACTATGCTTTTATAAACTGTGTAAAGGTACTTTTCTATTGTCGTTTTTAATAAAATAATAAAGTTTATTCCAGCTATTACATGATCGTCTGGGAACTTATTCACAACATCAACCAATCATGCCCGACAATGCAGAGATTTCCATTTCCAGGCAGAGGCAGAACTAGGCATGATTCAGAGTGGGAGTCAGGTAACTATAGCCCACCCACCTGCCACCGAGTGCTCCACACACCTGTGTACCTTTAACTCGGCTCAGTTGGCACCATCTGCCCTCAGTTACTAAGATTCTGCCAGGCATAGTCACATGTGCCTTAAATCCCAAGAGGCACACTCAGATCTCAGGTTCAAGCCAGCCTGGTCTGCACAGTGAGTTCCACGCCAGCCAGAGCAAGCTACACAGTGGGACCCTGTCGGGGGGGGGGGGGGGGGGGTGTCAGATTCTGTTGGGGATAAGTGGCTCATAAGTTGGAGAGCTTGCTGCTCTTACAGAGGACTGGAGTTAGGTGCCCAGCCCCTACATCTAGTGATTCAGAGCAGTAATTGGAGGTCCATCCATGGGCTACATCATCTTCAGGCAGCCACACACACAATGCATAAACAAAATAAAAAAAAATGGCTGCTGGTTCAACCAAGATATCAGTATTCTATATACTCCCACGATTTGCGCCCCCCCCCCCGGTCTTACATTAAAGTTTGCTGTGCAGCCAAGGGTGACCCCAAACTTCTGATCCCCAGCCTGTCTCGCCTCCTAACTGTTCTTACCACATAATAGTCACTGGTGACCTTCAGTCTAAAGCACTGGTATTTTCAGCTCATGGCTTAGTTTTCCAGAGACCATCCAAACCAGGCATAGTAACTGCTTTCTGATCATCTGGCCTTCCTGGAGACTAGTGGAGCTTCCACAGCCACCCTCCGGCTCTTCCAGTATGCCTGAGGTTGCTCTATAGAGCACACTGACCGTGTGGCTTTGTCTTCAGCCTCCCGTGAGGTTCCAACTCTAAGGCACCAGAGACTACTACTCAGCTGGCACTGATGGAGTCCTCCCTCAAGCTAGCCCCGCCCTAAACAGCCACTTCTGTAAGTATTTTCCACAAGAGGCCTTGAGATGCACTGAGTAGCTGTGTGTAAGGATAAGTCCCCGCAAGGTGTGTCCCAAGCCAGTGCAAGCCCTAGAGAAACTCCCACCGACCAAGCAGTCTACCCGCTTCATTAGCTCCTCTGGAATATTATCTGTCACTATATTGAGCGGAAATGGATGCAGGGTCTTTGGGAACCAGTAACTTGGGATTAGGAAATGGGTACACTGGTTTGTTCGTTCACTAATTATACAGGCTTCAAAACAATGATAGCAGCAAAATGGACTCTTCCCAGGAACACAAGACTATAAAACTAGCATCTAAAATTAAATGCCCCAACTAAATTTCAACTTAAAATGAGTATTGCAAATCCTAAATTTCCAAATGAGAACACCTCTAGTTCATCACTTCTGTGTTCCAGAGTCACTGTTCCAAGTGTTTGTATATCTAACCCTTTCCTCATGAGACTGCAACTGGTGCAGATCCCAGCACCCGAAACGCTGAGGCTGTAAGCATTACCTGAGCTACGCATAGCCAACACACTCTGAATTCTTTACCTCAATTACTGAGACAACTAACTGTCCACTGAAACCAGTGCTCTCCCCTGGTTTAAGAACGATGCTCTCTTCCTCCTTAGCTTTTAAACCGGTGTTAATATTCTCTATGACAAAACCATTTACAGCATTGTTGGAAGGCTAGAGAATGTCAGTGACTGGTGGCATGTTTTCTAAAATACTGGTCCTTTTTATTTTTTTTTTCTGTTTGTTTTTTTTTTTTAAGACAAGGTTTCTCTGTAGCTTTGGAGCCTGTCCTGGAACTAGCTCTTGTAGACCAGGCTGGCCTTAAACTCAAAGAGATTCACCTGCCTCCTGGAATAAAAGGCGTGTGCCACCAAGCGCCTGGCCAGTTATCACTTTTGACATCCCTTATTATTTTTGTTTTGTTTCTAGGGATTGAACTTAGAACTGTGTGCATACAGTGTTCTGGCAAAGTGAAAAGCCACTGGCCTTTCGCCAGTCTGGAAAGCATGTACTAAGCAACTACCAAACCAGTGGGGTTGGGCCACACTGCAGCCCATACTTCCAGGGGGCCATTTGTCAATCTGCTCAAGAGAGACTTCTCCCATGCGAGTGTTAACCATGCCAGTCACACTTAGTTCCCAAGGTGAGATATGGCTAAGGTGGTACAGTCATGGTCCAGGCACATATATTTACTTATTTTATGAAGGAAATCGTGCGTTAGCAGTGCCACAATGTCAGGACCTATTCCAATTTGTCTTTCCGCAGCATGCTGTCCCTAAATTCACAAGACAGGCCAGAGCCAGTACTCCACATAGTTTGAGAGGGTTTCCAAGTCCCCACTGGTCCTCTCCTTTCGTGAACACCTACTGACCTCTCAGGACAGACCCACTGGGAAACAACCGTCCTACATGCAGTTCCAAAGACAGCAATGTCCCTAGCCAAACCTGAGAAAACCCCAACCCTTCCCAAAACAAATCATTTCAAAGTAAAGCAATAGCTATAAAGGGGACACCAAGTTTCATCTTCTATGTCTCAGATAACTGCCATTACAAGAATAAAGTCCATAAATCCAAATGTACTTGTCCCTGGAGCGCCTACGTTCAGAACATGCTTCCACTCTTGATTTCAAACAAAGCTCACAAGAGAAATCCTGAGCGCACACTCGTAGGCTCCCCAGGACTGGAACTGAAGTTCCTCTACTGCCTTTCCCTGAGTACTCAAATCAACCAGTATTGAGCGTTTTTGCATCCCCAGGGTCCGCCCATCACCTGACCACATTTACAGGCTGTGACAGCAGCTAGAGGTTCGCTTTTTACTCTAAGCTCAACTCCATTTCTCTTAACTAGCCCCTAAAAGCTTGTGACTGTGATGAATTATAGATCAGATGCACTGAGGACTGTCTCAGCCTTTTAACTCTCCCAATCGTGCCCATTCCCACTTGTTTCTAAATGGCAGCAGATCTGGCAGCAACTGGCAGAGGTGAGATCAAGACTTCACTTGGAACTGCTGGAGGAGTGTCTGCAGTCACCCAGAAGAACTGCTGGAGGACTCTTCAGTCACCCAGAACTGCTGCCAAGGCCTGTTCTTTTTTATTATAGTCACAGAACACAACCAGGCTCTCAAGTTTCCCACAGGGCTGTCTGTCTGCTACCCATATCACCCCAAGATGCCATCCCAGGACCTCAGCAGAGAGAATACTCACACAGGCTATAGGTCAAAGGGAACAATACTTGCAAGACAATGCAAATGAATGAAACAAAATTATAGAATTTATAAGTTTAGTAACTAGCAAGATACTTTATTTTTCTAGATTTCAATTTCTTTATTTCTGTGAAGAGAGGTAAGAAATTAAGATCAATTATCAAACCAGTACCTAAAGCACAAACGAAAGCAGGCTTAGCTAGAGGTGAGTAGGACGCAGGCCTGGCAGTAAACATGTATCTGAGCACCTACCTGTCCATGAGGCCTGAAGTCTGCCTCCTTAAAGTCAGATGAGGCCTATGAGACAGTCTTGTAAA